ATTTAAATTACCGGTTTAATAGAAATATTATTCTTGAATCATATGATTTTAGCTTACGACATCACAAAATAAATAAACTTGTTTCAAGGAGAGTTGTTGCTAATCTTATATTTCTTTACAAACTCATAAACACTAGAAAACTTAAACTTTTACGCGAAAAATCACACATCTCACTCAGTTAATCTGTTTTATTATAACTCAGCGTTAACACACTATTGTAACAACTCTCCGGTAACAAGACTGCAATACTACTACAATCAATATTTTGGCCACCTTGATCTGGCTTATGTTTCTCTATACACACTAAGGCACGCTGCTTTTTCGGTTCTCTCGTGACGTACCTCCCATATAGCATTGTAAAAAACACTCGAAATGGCCGCACCAAGCATCGTGCCTTGGAGTAGAAAAAAAAAAAAATAAAAATAAATAAGCAAAAAATAAAATGATAAAACTAAAGATGTATATTGTCAAAATGCTAAAACTATACGCAATTGCAACAATAAGCAACTTAAAATTTAAGATTTAAAATTTAATAGCAAATAGAATTAGAAAAGTCTTGACCGCATTTATTTTTTAAAAGATATGTGTACAAGATATTTTATAATATAATCTATAAGGTAATAATAAAGTTGTTTCACACTTCATATGGACAGTATCTTTGATTAAATATGTATGTTTTACATTGGTTAAACTGTCACCTACAACAAATAAGTATGGCTTTACCTCACAATGAACTTTTCTTCTTAAAGCTTTTTTTTTGTAGCTTTATCATTCGCTCTATGTCTCCTAGACCCTAAAATTTACTACACTTTATTAAAGCCAATTCTATCAAAATTCACTATCACCGTTTAAGAAAATAGAAGTTTGTCGTTAGGAATTATTTATAAATAAAAAAAAAAAACAGTTTTGCGGTAATATTTTTTCAAAACAATAGGCTTTTTAGTGTATCATTTAGTACAAAAAATTATTCAAAGTTATATATTGAGAATATAATAGACTCTTTTATATATTATCTTTGATTATTAATCAGTTTTACTTTATAAATAGGAGTAGAACCTTATTATTGTTGTTATTTAAATTTATGAGTTATTTGAGTTAGTTATTCGAAGTAGCTTTAGTTCAGATATCCATTTAAGTGTATTTTTAAAAATAAAAGTTCCATTTTGGAATTTATAACTTCAATATCTTTTTTATAATAAAAAATATGATTTGTCCAACACATGACTTTTCTGTAAAACCATCAAAAATATTGAGTACGGTCCATCTAATCAAAAAATAGGAAAATTAAAATTTTGCATTTTTCTAAAAGAATTCTTCAATATGGTCCACATTAGAGAAATAATGTATAAGACAAAATTATAGTTTGAAAGAATTTTCTTTTTTTTTATAATCATAAATAAAAAATATATACCTTCAATTAAAAAAATTACCCCCTCCATAAAATAATTATAATTTCTTTATTTTCCTTGTTGGGTACAATTAAAAATAATAAAGACAATATTTGCCTTACAATGTATTATTAAGCTCTCAACAGACTCTATTGTTAAAAATTTCCAGTGGTTTTTCCCTATTCTAAATCTAAATCTGAGAATCTGAAAATGTCATTAACAATAAAAAAGAATAGTATTTTTAGTAAAATAAGTAATTTTATACCTAACTATAGTACCTGAATGGAACATAAAAGTCTCTCCTGTTAAGATAAAAGGCTGTATCTACAAAATGAATATTTTTAGTAAATGTGAGTAGGTAGATAATTATAGACTTCGTAAATAAGTTTTGCAGATTTGACTAAACTTTTCTCATATTTACAGTAAATGTTTTCTAATGAAAATAGACCTTTATTATTTTGTGTTATAATAAAATTAAATGTTTATTAAATTTGTAAGAATCTCGAAATCGGAATACGACCTCTTCTCTTAGCAAGGCAGAAGTCGTCTTGCCAAAAAGCCGTTACTCTAAATCATATTTTTTTTACTTCTATTCCAGTTTTTTTCGTTTTCTTATGATTATAAATTTACTTATATAATATAATACCTAACAAAAAATAAACTAAATAACTTACATCCATTTAACAAATTTTCCATTTCAATTTAATGTATTCATACACTAATTAATTGAATCACAAAGAATTTCTAACAAAAAGTAGAACGCAACCCTTTCGATACGACGTAAACTCAACTTGTTAGAACATGGACAATAGGATAAACACGTGTGCTAATGCCAATTTGCCAGATTCTCTATAAATGCATCTCTGACTTCCGAATAACAAGTATCACATCACAATATTTACCAGACATTTATTTACCTTATCAGTGCAGTGGTTGCATATTAAAATAAGTTTCAGCTGGTAACACCGTGCAGTAAATTTGTACTGGTTAATCTTTTGTGAAGTACGTAGGTTTTTGATTCGAATTGTTTAATTTTTTTTCTGAAATTTAATTGCTTTGAATCGAATCATTTTACAACACTGAATCAAGTACGCGATAGTTAGTTTCAAAAGCATATCATACAATAAACGTAAGAGCTTTTTTGGATTAACTAACAATTCTAGACTCTCAGATTAATTATTATGAATCTTAAAATACAAGATTGTGCCTACACTTCACTGAACATTTATTTTCTTATTGTTTTGTGTGGGCTTTGTTACTGTTTCCCAGCGCCACTTTAGGAACAGCACTGTTAATTAGAACTCAACAGTGAGTGGTCGAGTGGGGAATCCTACCATTTTAAACAAGTGTATTCTTCCAAATGAAAAACTTTTCTTTGAATATGGATGATAATTTTTTTCTGTGTACTTATTTCAATCATCAGATTGTGTTTTATATTAAGCAGAAAGAGCTGTCGCATCGGCTGCAGCATTAAAAAAACGAGACGGCTGCTAATTTAGGTGGGGATAATTTATGCGAGTTTATTTATCTAAGAAGCGAGCATTTGTTATATGAATAATTTAGTGTACGATGATTGCTTTACATTGCTGTCACATTAAAATTAATTGTGAACTTTCCTGGAAATGAATCTGTCACTTAAAGCCGTCAATAAAATATCTTAAGTTGCCAAACTAAAAAGTTATGAACAAGAATGTTCAATATCCACATACCATACACGTGTAAAAGGGAATAAATACAAATTTTAAGTGATTGTATAATAAATAAAAAAACTAATATTTATGCTTTCAATTCTTTATTTTTTTTTAATAGATTATATGGAAAGGTAGAGTAAATTTTTTAATAAAACTTTAATGCAAAATATTTGATGGAAGAGATCTGACAACATAGAAAGAGCGTACTGTCAGACAGATGTTGCGGACAAATTCAATGTAGACAAGGAGTATATATTATTCGATATATTTCGTTGCTGCCGATCTAACTAAATTTCAATGGCGACAAAAAGCGGATCGCACTGCGTGCAGCCATATTGCCTCACTAAGTGCTCACTGAACAGAATCGGTCAAGCTCTAATGGTTTTAAAAATTAAATTTTATCCTTTAAAGACAGTAATAAAATAATTATCTAAATTATTACTGCAAGGCATGAACATAAGTATTTTAAAAAACATTTTTGTGTTGTAAAGTCAAATTTCCAACTAAAAACAAAACATTATATAACCGGTTCTGATAATGATCTGTTTACAACGGAGAGTACACAATTGAGATAAAACATAAACATTGCATGTAATAGATGAAAGATAAAAGTTCGCTTACTAAAACTCTGTTTTAATATATAGGATGTATCAAAAAGGTAGATCATAAATGCAAACACCGTAGAGCACATAAAAATTTTAGGGGGGTTTTGAACCCCTAAAAAGCCCCAAACTTTTCTATGCGTTACAATTAAATTAGTATTGTGACACCATTGGTTAAGTACATCAGCTTTTTAATGTTTTTGCTTCTTAACACTTTTTTATCGAGATGTTGCCTCTTTTTTATTATCCTTCAAAAAATTTGAATTCGCAGGTATAAAAAATATATACAAAGTATTTAGTGTAATAAATGATCAAAATGGCCTTCATTTTGCTGAATACACATTGGCCACCGTTTTAAAAAGAAAAACCGAATTTTTTTGACGTAATCGATTTGAACTTTTAATTTTTCTCAGTTATTGTTCGTCGATTATTTCACGTCATCTTTCATAAAACCCTAGAAGCAAAAATAAATAGGGTTAATATCTGGACTTCTGGCTGACCAAGAAATAGGTACATCAGAGCTCCTTCCAATCCAACGTCCAGAGTATAGACCAAAAAGATATTCCATTTATGACCTACCTGTTTGTTGTAGCCTAGATTATATCGTTGCAAAATTCAATATGAAGATGTCGCATATTCCATTAATATAATTTGCTGTTTCGTTTATTTTAGTAATGTGAACATGAATTTTATATTATGTAAGTTGGTACATAAAATAAATAAATAAAAATTATTGATACATGGTTAATACGTATATTATAAATATTTTTTTATGATACATTTTTTGAGATTACGTACTTTAATTTTTTTTCGTTATAGACATTTTAAGGATTAGAGTGAGCCATGACCCACCTGGAACTCCTTACCCCCATTGTGGGCCCGCCTAAGCTCAGAATAACTATGTATCCAAATTATTAAACTATGTCTATCCATCTTAAATATATTATGCATGTATCTGGATTTATAATAGTCGTTGATTAAAATACAAACAAATAGACAACACCTCTGAATTAAAAAATAAATTTGTTAGAATTTCTAGTTGAGTTTGAACCCTATACATTAATTATTCTTTAATGTGCATTTCTGTACAATAGGTTAAAATTCTAAAAATATATTATCCTGAAATAAAGTTTTGTTTATTTATTTATATCCATTTGTCTACTTCAGTTTAAAATAAAATTATATAAATCGACAAAAGCAAGCATCACTAAAAAACCAATGCTCGAATTTCTCTCTCTCCTATATCCGTTATATTTATATTTACAACTATCCAAACGGCATTCGAACAAAATTTATTCAACCTACGGTTTTTGTTTCAGACCCAGACTCGGAGCTTATTGATTCTCGCATCAGCCCTGTCAATCATACTGGCTGTCAGACTGCAAGCACGTACACCGAAATTTTCCAGCGCCGATAATCCAACAGCGAGGGAAACGGATTTTTTAACAAGATTTTTAACATTCTCCTACCTACCAGTCTTTAATTTTTGGTTACTGATCTTTCCTAGCAACCTCAGCTTCGATTGGGGCATGGACGCTATACCAAGAATAACTACAATCAAAGACTATAGAATTATTATTACAATTATATTTTATTACAGTTTATTGTGTATATTGAGGAAGAGTTTAAAGAAAATAGTTAGAAAAGGAAAGAAACAATTTAAAAAACGTGACAATAATAATTGTAGAACGTGTAACTTAAACTGCTCTGAGCTACACTCGAGTTCTTGTAGAACTTCGAATAATAATAATACAACAAATTTTTCTTCGTCATCGTGCGTCTGTTTAAACATTTGCAGACCTGTAATTCTTTTCAGACATGAGAAGAAGCATAATTATACAAGTGCCGCCATTTTGCTTTCGTTCGCGTTTTTGGCTCTTCCATTTCTGCCGGCTACTAATATTTTGTTCTACGTTGGATTTGTTGTGGCTGAAAGAGTGCTGTATCTTCCGAGCGTCGGATTGTGTTTGTTGTTGGGATTGGCCAGCGGGACTTTGTGGGACTGTTATAAAAGACAACGGCCGGTGTTTTTGTGCGGGTTTGTGTTGGTATTAGTGGCGTTTAGTGCGAAGACTGTATTTAGGAATAAAGACTGGAAGAACGAGGAGGCCTTGTATAGATCTGCTGTGCCGATAAATACTCCAAAAGGTAATGTACTGTTTTTTTAATTTTAAATTATATAATACAGCGCTAAAGGCCTTAAAAAATAATGGTTTTAAATATTTCTACTATTTTTCTCCACAGAAGTAGAGTTTCCCACTTTCGTTAAGTCCTTTTTACAAGCCTTTATCCATCTTTGTTCTGGCATTCTCTTATATTTTAAGCAGAGTAGTTCTTATGGCATCCGATATAGTTCTATAGTTCCTGATACTTTTTATTAATAGTTTTCTCGAATTTAGTACCGAAAACTGCAATTTAAAAAATGAGATTGACAAGGGGGGTTTCTAAAGAGCTGACTCCTTCTACTGCATTAATAACCTACTTTTCCTTATTCGAATCTCACCTTCGCTATGGTTTACCTTTCTGGGGTTCTTGTAGCTTATACCTTTTCGAATCTATTTTTAAACTGCAAAAAAGAGCAATCCGCTATGTATTTGGTTTAAGTAGTAGGACACATTGCGAAAATTACTTCAAAAATTTCAAAATTCTAACCCTTCCTGCTCTATTTATTTTCGAATCCGTCTGCTTAGTTCGCAAGCACATTCAAAATTTATCCGAAAGACCGACTCGTAGATATCCTACAAGAAATTTAAAGACTGATGTTTATTTAACAATGCCCACTTCTGACCTATTAAAACATTCCATTACCTACAATGCCAAAAAATTGTATAATAACCTTCCGATGCAATTAAAATCTATAAATACATACGATACGTTCCGAAGACTGGCTAAAGCTTTTCTTCTAGAAAGACCATATTACACAGTAACAGAATTTTATAACGTACCTTAGACATTTGAGTTCCACATACAATGGCATTAATTAAATAATTAAATATTAAAGTTTAAATTTAAATTTAAATTTAAAAATTAAATTAGAATAATTATAATGACGGATATTGCATATCCATTGCAATTGTTATTCCTATTTTGTCTGTTTGTTTCTGTTTGTTTTTTCTGCTGTTTAGTTATTTTTATAATATGTTTAGTATTTAAGTTACACGCTTTGTCTATAAAATTTTTGTAAATTTTTTTACGACAATAAAGCATATCTCTCTCTCTCTCTCTCATGTGTGAGTTGAGGTAATTTTAAGGTGAAGGGAGAGAAAAAGTCCTTTATATCGCACAAGGAAAGTCAATGTTTAATTATTTAACAAAACATTGAGTGCGACCGGTTTCGAAGTGTCATCACTTCATCTTCAGGCTCGCCTAGTGGAAAGGAGAATATGTGGTGTAAGGTGTGTTAACACTTAGAGCAAACGATATATAAATTAGTAAAAAAGATAAAAACTCACCATACTCTCCATCCACTAGGGAATACTACAAAACAAGTTTCATCAAATGTGGGGTGAAATAAATTGTAAAATGAACAAAGTTTACAAGTAATAAAAAGTTAAAAATATTTGAAAAACAAATATTAGTCAATTGAGATAGTAAAATTTAAAATATTCAAGACTATACAAAACAAATCACATACATTAAACAGATTAAAAGATAAGGCTTATTTTAAACAACCTTGTTTTTTCAAAAAACTAACATTTTTGAAAGGAGACCTGTCAAGTTGAGGCCTCTACAGGTGGTGGCAAGTATTAACAAAAAATTAGTTCATGTACCATATTAGGATTGTTAATATAAACTAAGTTTTGTTGAATTTTATTTTGTTTATGTGTTAGCATTTTATCAATAATATCTAGTTCAAAGTTGTGATCTATAGCAATAGTTTTAATTATATTTAGTTCCTTATTAAAGTTTTCCGTAGACAGAGGAACGTTTAATAGCCTCTCTAAGTAGCAATTAAAGGCAGCCAATTTATGTGTTGCTGGATGGTTAGAGGTATTGTCTATAACTGTGCCTGTATGTGTTGGCTTTCTATAGATGTCAAAGTTGAACTTGTTATTATTGTGTGAGATTTTAAGATCTAAGAAGTTAATAGATTTGTTTATTTCAATTTCTACATGAACTAACCACCAGTAAGAAATACATTTCTCTTACCTTTATTGGAAAAGCATCCTATAAAGTGGCAAGCTTACTTAAAGACCACTTTAAAGTATCTTTCAAAACCCCCTCCTCATTACATAAGTTATTTGTTCATAATAAAGATAAATTAGATCCCTTTGACTTATCTGGAATTTATAAATTAACTTGTAAATCTTGCCATTCTTTCTATGTGGGACGCACTTTTCGAAATTTCAAGATCCGTTTAAAAGAACATTTGCGTTGTCTTAACCAAAATACAACAGGTTTTTCACATTTTGCCAACCACCTACTGGACTCAAATCACGACTTCGATTCAACTGAAGGTTTCGAAATCCTACATAGTTCCTACCATAGATTTACTCTTAATAGCTTCGAAAGCCTCGAGATATTGAGAAATTTAAAATTAAATCCTGTTGGTTGCTTAAATGCCCAGATAATGTCAGAAACTCCTCCTGTTTTCTCAACACTAATCTAAATGTATCTTTCTAACTTCCTTTTTAACCTCCCCCTTTATTTCTATTCACATATTTTCTTGCAAGGGGTACATTTCAGTAAGTAATTTTTTTCCCATAAGAAACCAACGAGCACGTTTAAAGATTAGGTTAGATTGTGTGATTTCACATCCGTCATTTTTTTCTTTTCTTCTTTTATTCTTCAGTTGCTTCACAACAGTTAACCCAGTCATTTCTTCTTCTTTCTTCTTCCTACAACATCACATACACTTGGTGATTGGTTCATGGCCCAAATCTTATATAATAAATAATAAATATTTCTTCACTCATAGTTTACATCTTATTACCTATACCCTGTCATGGGTTTACCCAAGAATTTTTTTGTTAATACTTGCCATCACCTGTAGAGGCCTTAACTTGACAGGTCTCCTTTCAAAAATGTTAGTTTTTTGAAAAAACAAGGTTGTTTAAAATAAGCCTTATCTTTTAATCTGTTTAATGTATGTGATTTGTTTTGTATAGTCTTGAATATTTTAAATTTTACTATTTCAATTGACTAATATTTGTTTTTCAAATATTTTTAACTTTTTATTACTTGTAAACTTTGTTCATTTTACAATTTATTTCACCCCACATTTGATGAAACTTGTTTTGTAGTATTCCCTAGTGGATGGTGAGTATGGTGAGTTTTTATCTTTTTTACTAATTTATATATCGTTTGCTCTAAGTGTTAACACACCTTACACCACATATTCTCCTTTCCACTAGGCGAGCCTGAAGATGAAGTGATGACACTTCGAAACCGGTCGCACTCAATGTTTTGTTAAATAATTAAACATTGACTTTCCTTGTGAGATATAAAGGACTTTTTCTCCCCCTTCACCTTAAAAAATGAGATGTTAACGGCAGGAAGTTAGCACCCAATATAAGAAATAAAATAAAAAACAGCAGACCGTAAATCGAGAGTTTATGAATAGTTCTAGATGTCTTGTTAGTTTTTATAGCTAAATTAGTTCATTTAAAATTAATAATAAACAGAAATTATAGACCATAGTGAAATGCTGGCATATTTTAACAAGTTCTAGAATATATAACGCTTCTTAAGAATAATCAGACTATCTCGACATTAAATCCCAAAGAGTATTTGCCTCTAGCACCTTTAGCAAATTTTTAATTATTATTAATTAACAGAAATTATAGACTACAGTGAGATGCTATCATATAATGGCGAGGTCTAGAATGTATAATGCTTCTAAATGATAACTTGGCTCTCTCCATATTAAGATCCGAAACATTTTAGCCTCTGGCCCTTTTTTAATAATTGTAACTATTAATAATAAACAAAAATTATATAAAATAAGATGTTATCATATTTTATAGAGTTCTAGAATATATAATGCTTTAAAATAATAAATAATCTCTGGATACAATTCCGAAGAGTTTTAGACTTTGCACTTTTTAATTTTTTTTTTAAGTAAATATAATAAACAGAAGTTATAAACTATAGTGAGACACTGTCATATATCATTTATTATATATTCTAGAACTCGTCATAAATCGACAGTAGCTTACTATAGTCTATAATTTTTGTTTATTAGTAATACTTATTGACAAAGTACTAGAAGCTAGAATATAGACTTTTCGGGTCTCATTGCAGAGAGTCAAGTTCTCATTTATAAGGGTTATATATTCTAGAACTCGTTATAATGTACCAGTATCTCACTGTGGTTTATAAAATCTGTTTGTTAATAATACTTAAAAGTATTAAAAAAACTGCTCAAGGTTAGAACTATTCTGTTCTCAATGAAGAGAGAAACAAGTTATCATATAAAAGCATTGGGTATTCTAGATCTCGTCATATTATGATAGCATCTCACTAAAGTCTATAATTTTTCTTTATTTATAATACTTAAAATGTTGTGGTGTGTTTATTTCTATAAAAAATTGGTGCTATAAAGAAACTAATAAAAATACCAATAGTGATAGAATAAGTAAATTCGCTAATAATATTAGCAATTTGAATTGGTCTGATTTTGCAAAAACAAATTATAGTGCAGATTATTTGACTAATCTAATTCTACTAAATAATCTGATATTTGGTTTCCACTTAAAGTTGTTCATTCTGAAAATCAATGACCGAAGTGGTTCAATGAGAAGCTGGGAGATATCAAAAAAAGATTAAAAAATAGTAGAACATTTTTTATTATTAGTAAAGAACCACAAGACTGGCAAACTTTTTGTAATTTACGCAGTGAATATAAACGTGCAATAAAAGAGAAAAAACGCAAAGCATATGCAAATATTATTCAATATTCTGAAAATAAAAGTAAAGCCGTTTGAAGTTTAGTCAAGGAAGAAACTACTATAAAATAACAAAAAAAGGACTAGAGATTCGAACAGTCCAACTAACACAACAAAAGGAAGCTACAAGATCTTCAAATAGATGAATGCTTCTTTTGTAAAGAATACTGGTTCATGGCATAGCAACCATTATAAATATTCTTATAGAACTGTCAAGGTCATGTAAACATTAGTGAATTTATTTCTATATTGTTTTATGTT